GCACTGGTATCTGGCATTCGTTGACTTTTACCCTATAAGGCATTATCTGCCTATAAATACTGGACAGTTTATGGATAGTAATTCTATACAACTTTTCTTGCCAGAAATATTCCCATAGGCTAAAATATTTAAGAAAATATTAAACGTTTTTATGACTCTCAAAGAAAATAAATTTAAAATTCTACAATTAGCAATAGTATATGGTCTCTCTTCACTATTACTACAGGTTTCAGGTCCTTTAAGTGTCATGAAACTTGATGGAGGTGGAAGGTTAGAACAAAGGTTAAAATCTGGTAAATAGGAAGTAAGAGCTCCCGGTTCCTGGGAGAGTGAAAGGTGTGGTGGCAGTGAGGGGAGGCAGGCAGGACCAGCCACAGAGGTCACACTTTTCTATGAAACTGGTAAGCTTTGGGTACTGCCTTGGGAGAAAAAAAATTTTATCACAGACCTAAAGCAGATCAGAGTACATCAGAAATTTTCCTGTGTATTCCTGACTTACTTGCCTTTACTTTATTCTGTTACTCTCTCAAACCATTAAAGTGCTCTAGTTCATTTGTTCAGAAGCATTTACCGAGTACCTACTTTACAACAGGCATCTTCATGAGCTTTTTGGAGGAGATGGAGATAGAAAGGTGAATAGAACAGTATCTATGTCTTATGAAATCTGGGAGATAGCAGATAGGAAATAGATACACAAAACAGTTTTAACACCTAGATGATTAGTAAAGGTATGGATTAAGTACTATGTAAATAACAAAGATAAAAGAAAGAAACAATTAACTGGAGGAAGCCAGTTAAGGCCTCATTGTAGGGGTAACATGTGGACTGGACTTTAGTAACAAAAATTTGTCCAGGCAATAAAATGAAAGAATATGTTCTAAGAAGAAGAAATAGCATGTGCTAAGATGGTGTGGTAGAGGTCGTGGGAGGAAATGATACTAGAACAATGACAGAAAGAACAAGGATGAGTGGCAAAGTGAATGTGAAAGGTAAAAAGAATGAGAGAACAAGGACAGGGCTGAGTTGCTGAAGTCCATTAATTGAGACAGGAAATACAGGAAAATTGGGAGAACTTTATTTTCAGGGGAGTGGAGAGTAAAGAGTTTTGGAAACATGAGACTGGATCTCAGGAGATAGGTGAGTACTAAGATAAATATTTGGAAGTTATTTGGCTAATAGGTAGTAGCTGAAGGTTATGGAAATGGAAGACATTTCTGGGAATTGCATAGAGATAAAATAAAAATAAAATATATAAAGAAATCATTATTTAGGGATAGTTGGAAGATGTATTCCCTGAAAGAAATGGAGTAGGGATAGTTAGAGAAGTAGTAGAAGAAAATGGTGCTATGAACTGAAGAAAAGAAAAGATTTCAAGAAGCAATGGTGAACAGCATTAAATGAGAAAGATAGTTCAGGTAGGGAAAAAATCGTAAAAGGTGACAGCTCTTGTCATTGGGGTACTTGTTAATCTTAATAAGTCCTAAAATAATATTTTGTGATCATATGGTCATGTCTTATCTATATAATTCCCAGACTTCAGAACATAAGATTTCTATTTCCCTCATCATTAAAAAAGACAAAACAAAACACTAAGCACTTAATGAATGGTAAGATGTATCATGTAAATTGTTAGGAATACAAAAGTGACTAAGACAGGGTTCCTACTCTCAAGGAACTCACAGTCTAGTAGGAAGGACACATAAATAGATAAATAATAAAATAACTGTATGGCAACAGGTTCAAGTAAGTGAGAATATTGCTTACTTGAAAAACTTCTAATAATCCTTTTTTTTAAAAAACACAAAATACTATGACAATACACAGAAGAGAGTGATTTTACTTTCTAGGAAGTTAGAGAAGACTTTGTAGACAAGACATATTGAATTGGTCTTGCTATATTGATGAACATGATGATACTAATAATATAATTTATAGAATGCTTATAATAGTAACTGGCACTGCGCTAGGCTATCCAATTATTCCTCATAAGAACCCTTCCTGTGAAGCCAGTTTTACTGTCCAAGTTCTTCATCTGAGGAACTTTTGCTTAAAGAGGTTAAGTAATTTGCTCTAAATCTCATGGGTAATAAGTAGGAGATAAGGATTTAAACCAGGACTGTCTGACTTGATTCTAAAGCCTGTCTTCTATCCTCTATGCTACACTGACTCTCATAGGCTGAATAAAGTTCTCCTGGGAGAAAAGCACAAAAGGTTCCAAGCAGAATGTCCAAAATATACAAAGGCATTTGGTCTTAAAAAGGCAGAGCCCTATTGATGAATTAGACAGTATACTATGGAGTGACATGCCAAGAGAAGGGGGGATTATTTAACGTGCGTTGTTCTAAAAGCATTACATGTTATATCTCATCTAATTCTCACAACGTTATGAGGTAGAAGTATTATTGTCCATGTCAGCACAAAGCTTTAAAATAAAATGTCCAAGTTTACATACACATTCTGAATCTAAAGCCCTGAAATTTTAAACCAGTATGCTATATTAGTGAAGATATATGAGCATTTTTATTTGTTTTCACCATGATTGTATTATTAGTTGTATAAAAACATAGTTAAAAATGGGCCATTGAATTTTGTAGCTAGGAAATTACTGGCTATCTTAAGAAGACCAATTTTTGTATAAGAACTAGTCATAGTGCATTGAGTAGCAGAGGAGTAAATGGGAATTGAAAAATTAGAGATAGTGAATATAAATCAGTTATTCAAGAAATTTGGTTGAGAAAGAAAAAGAGTCATGTGAACCCTTTCAATTTAAATTTTAAATTGCCTGGAATATTGACATATTTTCAAAGGACTCTAAAATATTTGCTTGTGATATTAATTTCAGGCCAGGCACACTAGCTAACTCCTATAATTCTTGCACTTGGGAGGCTGAGGGGGGGATTTCTTGGGGCTAGAAGTTCAAGACCAGCCTGAACAACAAAGCAAGACCCCCATCTCTACAAATATAGAAAAACTAGCTGGGTCTGGTAGCGCATGCCTGTAGTCCCAGCTACTTCTTAGGCTGAGGCAGGAGGATTGCTCGAGCCCAGGAGTTTGAGGTTGCAGTGAGCTATGATCATGCCACTGTACTCTAGCGCAAGCAACACAGCAAGTCCCCATTTCTAATAATAATAATAATAACAATAATAATAATAAATTTCAGATTATATGGAGAATACTAATACCATGTTACAAAGACTTATAATTTTGTTTCCTTTAAGAGGACAACCTTCCTTTTAAACTCAACAAAATAGGCTGATGTCCACATTAACTGCAATGAAGATACATTTTGCCCAACTAATGGCAATTAAAAATGAAATACAATGAATTGAATATGAAAAGGAAAGGCGGTAATGTTTCATTTAGGTCTTATTGTTGGAAATCAGAAGAATAAAAGTTTTAACATTTAAATTTGACATTTAACTCTTTTAAATGACATAGTTACTATGCTTAAACTCTGATCTATAGATTGATGCCATTCCATTTAAAAAGTTGTAATCTTTCTGTGGTTAAATGTACAAAATAAGGATATAGTGAATCTGTCAAACAGTTAAAATTATTTAATTTAAGGCATTTTCTGAGATGATGTTATTTCTACTTCTTGGTATACAAAAGTTCTTTCTTGTCCAAAATGATAATGATAGTTGATCATTGATGTTGATATTGATATTTTTTAACAAATAAAAAATAAACAGTGGACAATATTTTCAAAGATTTTTTGAAAATCTAATTGGTCTCTGGGAACCACTGCTTTAGGGAATTTTAGTCCTATATAGAAATTAAAAGATTACATGTAAAGAAAACTTTGAAATTTGTAATTATGTGTAGATTTTGAGCGAACAGAGCTAAATCAGATTCTGACTGTTAATAATTACTGTTTGTGATTTACAATGAAATAAGATCTTATATATTCTTAGAATGTTAATATATATTGTGAATAACTGGATACAGTTTCTAACTGAATATAAACCTAATCTTTACAAATATATATAATACTTACATAAATCAAAAGTTTCCAGGCACACTGGCAGTAAAGATTAATAAGCACAATTTCTATTTTAAAATGGTCTTTACTACAGTGTACCTTTACTACAGTGTACCTGATGGGATATTAATCAAAATATAGTTTCAGGGATGTTGAGAAATGATTGAGATGACTTATTTTCAAATAAGAAGTAGTGGGAAGTGAGAAACCTTGAAGTGAGCACTACTTCATACTGTAAAACTGGAAAAATATTGTTAGGGAAAAAGGTATGTCTTAAAAATTGAAGGTGATTAGGTATGTGAATGCTGTAATGCTGTTAACAATATATGAAGAAGGGTCTATTACATAAAAAGTGCTTCAGAAAATTATGCTATAATGTTCAGGTCCCATAAATTAACAAGTGGTTTCTTTGTCTGTTAATTTATTCGTTAACATTTTGCTAGCTGTCATAAGGACTGACTGATTATGCAGCTTTATTTAAATTTTAATAAAAATGCAAAGATCATTCAAAATAAACAAATATAATCATACACTGTGAAAAGCTGTAATGAATACTTCAGAAGAACAACACAAGAAAATTAATTTCACCGTACTAGATTCTAGGCACCTAGAGGTCTCAGACTGTGAGGTCACAGATGATCCCAACTCAAGCAGGATTATCGTGAAGCTAAATGAGTACAGTGGTAACTTGACAGCCTCTTCCCCTTGCTAATAACTTTGCCTATTAACTTAGGAGTATGAAATGATTTAAATAGTATGGCCTCCACGAACTGATGATCAGTTATTAAATAAAATGATTTGCCCTAAATAGTCACAATGATTCCCAAGAAAATGACTTTTTGACCCCAAATATGGATATGATATGCAATCTAAAAACAAAAAATTCATTTTGTTCAATCTACTTTTGTCTTAAATGATTAACAGCATGAACAATAAATACGTATTGTCTAGTTCCCCAAAGAAAGTGTTTTTTATTTTGTTTCACGTTTTTGAAATAACGCAAGATCATTCTACTTACTTCTGAACTTTTTCACTGGCCACTTGGGAGGCCTCTACGGCATGCTGAAGTTGTAATTCCATGTTTGCTCTCTCTGTCAGAGCTTGTTGCAGTTGGGTAGCCAGTTCCTCATTTTGTTGTTGAGTGATGGAAACAATGCTTTCTCTGTTTTTTAAAGCTTCTTCATAGGTACTAAGGGTATGGTTAAACTGATCCTTCAGATTTTCTTCTTGAGATAAAGATTTGTGTAAACTGAGAAAATACAAAAATAAAGATAAAAAAATGTATGCTGACTGATCAATGATCTATTTGACAAAAATCTCCATTTAGAGTCCCCATTTATAAAAATCAATAAGTAAATGTTTAAATGAGTAAATAAAAATAATTTTTCTGTCACAATATTATAATTGATCATTTCTCTGCTACTAGGCTACAAGCTACCCAGACAAATGATTATGCTACCAAAACATACAAAAAAAAAGATGCTGCAAGATGTTAATTTAATTATATCAGTGTAAATATTACATTCAATTTTCTTTAAAAGGAATAGCAGAGAACTGGAAAATAAAGTATCTCTATGCAAATAAAAGAATATAATAAGCTGACTTCAAAGAAGTCAGAAATAAGAGAATGGGTATTGGTTTAGGAGATCCAGGGTCTAGTCTGCTAAGCACTTAATGATAATGAATGAGGTTTATGCAAATACTGACCAGCCTTATACACAGCATTTTCTACTTATCACAGTTGAGATATAAATGAAGTTAAAATCACTAGTCAGACTGCACAGAAATAATACATTTTAGATATATTTTTGGTTAATGAATCTTATGACAAATACATCCACTCATTAAGTTATATAGAGAAATAGCATATAAATTAAGACTGAATGAATGCAGAAGAAAATGCAGACAAATAGAATCCTAAAATGCTAAAGGTCAAATCTTTGATATGTCATTACACCTACCGCCTGAGGTTATTTTGAAATGGCACCAAGCACCTCACTCAATTAAATAAAGACATTTTGAAAATATAAATATTTAATAAGGGAAATTTAAAATCCACATAGGAGATGTTCTTTTTTTATTAAATAAAAATCATTTCAGTATATGCATACAAAAGAAATGTTGATTGGAGACTTGAAATAAAACAACCTAACTAGATAATACAGATTGATATTGTGAAAGAAAGCAATATAATTCCTAAACCTGTAAAAAGCTAGTCTGTGAACTTTAGCACTGGCCTAATATCTACCTAGTCTGATACTTTATTTAAAACTGTTCAAACTAATTATAATTTTTTCTTTTAGTTTAAGTTACCAATAATATGCCTTTACAATGTGCTCACTTTGGAGAAGGTATCCCATAGGAATAAGATGGACATAAAACAAGAACAGTCAGCAAATCATTTCAGGATTCAAATTTGTCCCTAAGAACAGAGACTATTACTAAACTCCAGTCAATTGGTAACTATATACAAAATTACAACAGTGCGCAGTGTCACATTTGTAGAGTGCAAAAAAGTATCTTCCTTTGTGTTTTTCACATTGTTATTAATTTAACTAAGCCTATTTCATTTCTCAGTTCTACCAACCCATATGTTTAAAGACTGTCTCTTGCCCATTTTCCTATTCTTTCTATGGCCTTTCACACTTTCTGCATCCTGCCTGTTCCAAGTTCCAGTTTTCTTCAGTCAACCCTCTTTATCCACTTGAAAGATACAAGAAAGAAACTAAAAAAAAAGAAACAAAAAATAAAACCTTAACAAGATGTCTGCTTATGTTCTTTATATTTAAAACATTACTTACATTTTAATTGTTCATTATATTATAAATTACATAAAGTACACACAAAGTATGCAGCTTGACAAAATGTAAAGAACAAAATACAGAAACCTAGAAAATGTTCTACTGTTCCCTCCCAGCTGATTCCCTTCCCAAAAGGCAATTACTAATCCAACCTCCATCGAGAATAGTATTGCCTGTTTTTGAAATTTTTTTTTT